ACACAACACACGTTTTTGCGTTGGTCCGGATCACACAATTCCGTTTTCGTAAGAAGACTTACAGAATCTCCTGCACTGAGGTTGTCCTAATAAATATAATGTCGTTTCTGGAATACTTCCACCTTTTTCCGTCTGCCTCTTCAACCATGTACCTACAAGACAACACAGGAAACAACAAACCCAACAAATAGTAGAATTGTTCTACATCACATCTACATACGGCTATTAAACCTAAGTGCTTGTTAACATGTTATCTCTGTTTTTGTTCATACAAATTTGAGAATCAAAACTGAACAGGTCATACTCAACACACAATTGCATTAACTCCCGACATTAGCGCTCACATGCCCTGAACTTGGCTGCCCTCCTATATCCAGATCTAAGAATTAAGGCACATCATCCCATGATATCATGAGTTTAAACTGTATTAACACATGCTCAATAACACCTAGTTACATCAAGCATACTTTGATGTCACGTTTCATATTGGTGACCTTCCTCATATTAAACCGACTGTAGGGATCATGTTTCACTGAATGCCCAGACTGAAGAAAGACACAAATATAAATAATCTTCTATAAAACTGTGGACTTTTGACTGAAAACGATGATTTATTTAGAAATGTGTCAGGTCGGACGGGCATATACACAATGTACGCAAGTTACAATACAGGTATAATAAGTACATATAGCACTTCACACACACATTTAATCAGGCATGTTTCCAGCCCGTTAGAGGACAGAAAAACAAGTGTAACACGTGATACATCCATATTAAATAGTATATAGATTATACTATTACAATATATAAGGATTTCTTAAGAAACACAGTCATGTTAGCAACAGAAAAAAATTTAGTATACTACTATGACGAAACGCCTGGATCTCTTGTACTACTACACTTTTTACATTACTTTATTAATAAAATGAAGTCAATTACGCTCATTACCACAAGTTAGTTAAGGTTTTAATAGTCGGATTAAATTTATGACCTGTAAAAAATCTGTTTATGTGAAACTACTGTCGAAACCTGCTTGAAAAAACAAACAAGCAAATACTGATCCCCCCCGCCCCCAATGTCAGCTTTGTATATGCTTATTTATGTGAACTGAAGTAGAAGAAGACTAGAAAAAAAAGCCCACTTCAGAGGAATCAGAATCATGGCGTTCCCCTTTAACAGTCAAAACCACAAACAAGCTGTTTATATTTCCTTCTCCCCCCTCCTTTGAGCATGCATTGTCTGCTGTACGGTAGCGACACACTTCACAGCAACATGACTTGACAGAGTCACCTGACGAAGCTAAGCTGGAACGAGCGGTCTTATGACTGAGGAAGGAGGAACCACCCCACATCAGCACTACTGCTTGCTCTTTACTACTGACGACTGTCTTCATTTATAAGAAGGAATCAGAGTAAGTTTCAAACCCAACTTCCTCCCCTCACACCACCAGCCCGATACCTGATATCAGGAACAGGGCTGGTGGACGAAGTGCACTGAAATCCATTAAGTTTTCTGTAAAGACTTTTCTTTTAAACTTAAATATATAGTAAAATATGCACTGCTGGTTTGTTTTCTCCCCAACAAAACTTTCTTACATCAATAGTAAGTCATTCTGCCTGGAAAAAGTTGGACCAGTTTCTTAATAGAGCGTGCATATTTCTGTGTGTTTTATTATCAATAAATTAATCAGTTGTTCGGCCTAAACAAAATAAA